CAGTGGGACATGGTCAGAGGATTCCACCTAGCTAGGTTCTCTGTGACAACACCGATCCCATACAGCATGGGGCGGGATGGATGTCTCAGATCTAAATCCTGGCATTTGGGGTGGGTGGGTAGAGGGTGGGATGATGGTAGAGAGCATTAAGCTATCATTACCCAAAAGAGAGTATGGCATAAGGAATTCAGCATGGCTTTGAGCAAATCTCAGCTCAAATCCCTAGCTGTGTGACTTTGGGCAAGTTACTTAACCTCTCTGGACCTTGGTTTGTTTCTCTGTAAATGCAGGACATGGAATATCCTGTATACATACCTAACAGGATATGCATGAAGACTTATTGAGATTAATGTATACCAAAGAGCCTGGCATAGAGTAGCTACTCAGAAATCAGTCTGATTCAGGAAAACCAAGGCGGCACAACATTGAGGGAGTGAGTACGTGTGCGTGGGGAGGGTAGTATGCATAGAAGGGAGCACACACTCTGGCCTCAGCACCCGCAGTGTCTCCTGCTGCTGGAGGATCAGGAGTTCACCCGCAGGGCAGCTGTCAGCAGCTCAGTGGATGGATGAGTGAAAGTGTAAGAGGTGGGAGGCGAAGGTGCTGGGGAGGGAGCCATCTTCAAATAAAAATGAAAGGAGCATGGCAGATGAAATAACAGGGCCATTTACTAGAAGCCCCGCCCCAGGCATCTCTGCCCCGGGACCCAGCCTTCCTGCCCACCTCCCCCAGTCCTGTGCCCCTGTCCCCTTTCCTGAAGTTCCCTTCAGCATGGAGGCCCATTAGTGTCCCTGATCCTTTGGGAAGGCCTGAAAGCAGGAGTTCCCCCACCTCTGAGACCCGGGACCCCTGCCTCCTCCCAGCCTCCCTCATCTCCCACTGAAGATTGGGACCTAAGGCAACCTGCTCCCAATGTGTTGTCTGGGCAGATTAGTGCCCCAAAGCTGGCAGGCCTATTAGGAGGCCTTTGTGAGGGAGGGAGCTGGGGAGGAGAAGGGGATTTTCCATTCTCTGAGCAACTGGATTACCCAGTCAGGGGATCAGAGAAGAACTTGCTGCTTAAACTGTGTCTTTCTCACAGCGCAGCCTGTGCCCTGGCTCTCAGCCTCCGTGTTCTCAGCAGGGATCTCTGGGAGCCTGGCCCTGCCTGTTTTTGAGGTGTGTGTGTGTGTGTGTGCGCACATGCATGTGTGCACGTGCCCACGATCTGAGTTAGCCTTGAGGGCAAAACGAAGTCTCCTTCCTCCCCAGCCCTAAAGCTATGACACCAAAGAGGAACTCAAAACAATCAGCTTGCCACCACCTCCACTAACCCTCCCCTTCCCCAAAGACCTCAGGGCTGAAGATGGATCCAGAAGGTGGAGTTCAGAGAACTGAAGTGACTTACTCTGAGTCACACAGCAAGTAACAGGCAACCAAGCTGGTTTCCTGACGGGGGCTGGAAGCGCAGGAGCACGCTCTCTGCGGAAGAGGCCCGTCTATGCCCGGGCCTGGAAGGAGCCCAAGACTCTGCTTAATGTTCTCCCTTCGTAGAGGGGGCTTTGATGCTGAACTTTGTTCAACCTCAATATGAGCTTGAGAGGGAAGGAAGCCCTGCTCCCATTCCCAGTCTCTCAGGCTACAAGGGACCAGACCGTAGCAGACGGGGACGTGGAAAGGAGATTAAGTTTAAAGACTTTAAAGTCTTAAGGTCTAGTCCCAGCCTTACCACTTCACTTGCTGCGTGACCTTCGGCAAACCACCTCCCCTCTCTGAGCTCAGTGTGTCTTATCTGCAAAATGAAGATAACATCTGTTTCAGAATTGTTTTGAAAATACTGGAAGAACATCAAGCATAGCATCTTATATACTAGGTGCTCCAAGTCAGGGTGGAGGCAGACTGGGAGGCGATGTTATTTCCTTTACCCAGAGTGTGCCCATTCCCCAGAACAGGAGTCCCCACTGCACATCCAAACAACTGGTTCTTCCCGCTGGGAGGGCAAATCCATCATGTTCAGAGACTGTTGGCCTCCCCCACCTGGTGTAAGGTTACTGGGGGGTCATGCCCCCACACCTTGTGCCCACTTTCTAGAAGGAGGCCCAAAGTCCCCCAGCCCCGCCCCGTGTGGCCCCTAGAGGCCTTTAGCTGACAAAGTGGTCATCTGTGACCTTCCTAATGGCCTATGTTCCTTTCAGCCAGAAAATTCTATGATCCTGTGACCCCTTAAAACCCTGCCCTGCTAATGGTTTTATGATCTTCCAGAGGAATCCTCTCTTTGCCCTCCTTAACCCCCAACCCCTTTCGGTAGGTCCTAGTCAAAATAAACACCGTTTACAACCAGAGGAGGATTCAAGGTCCACATGGCAGACAAATGCGGAGCCCTTTGAAGGGGCCTGGGGAATCCATCACATCCTGGGGTGTGATGCTCCCCAGGCCCAAGGGGAGGTGGGCCCAGGGAAGAGGCGCAGGCCTGGGAAGCTGCGCTCTGGATCCAGGTCTGGAATCTGAGGATCCTGTGCTGTGTCTGCGGCTCCCTCCCCGGCACTGAGCCTGCCCTCCCCACAAAGGAAGTGAGGGGAGAGGAGGAGGGGACTGGGCATAGCCGGTGACCAGGAAACTTTTCTGTCCTGTGTGCAGACTGCCTTGGGGGCCAGGAGCTGACCTGGCATGTCATCAGGGGAGTAGGGGCAAAATGAAAGAGTGAGGGGAAAAATAAAGAGGCAAATGGAGACATAGTAAGCCTGCGTGGGTGAAAGAATTAGAGCTGTAACCACAGAGGCCTTGGGCCTCATCACTACCTCCAGTGCCCCCCTGGATGGTGGAGTATTGTGGCCACCTTGGGACAACTTTCCAAAGGAAACTAGCCCAACCGCCTTCAGGAGAAAATCAGGCAGCAGAGCTAAAGAGAGAGTGGGAAATAGAGAGAACCAGACGTTGTTCTGAGTCACTCTGGGAGGCCCTGAGCATCACCGTGAGCGAGTGAGTGAGATCACTGAGGGAGAAGTGGAGAGCCTCCATGCAGAACGAACACCTCCCCCTCCATGCCACCCCCCCCCGCCCCCGCCATGAAAGGCAGGACCCCTCCCCCACCCTCTCTTCGGCACCCTCCATGGGAGAAAGGGGTCCACCACAGATGGCAGTCCACATTGTCTCAGCTTTGCCTCCCACTTGCCAAGTGGATGAGACACTCACCTGGGCTCAGCCTTCCCTGGCAGGTGCAGCTACGAGCAGATTTGTTTTCAAGGAGGACTGGCCCTGCCTGGGGAACGGTTGTTGGAGAATATTAAGACAGAATTCCCAGAGGCCCAAGTCTGAGAGCAGCTTTCTAGGACAGGCAGCACAAGGTTTTCCTCCACCACCACACCAGCCTCCAGAACTGGGGCAGCGGCCTAGGGGCTGGTGTCCCTGCCTCAGGGCTGGGGGAGGGAGGAAACTCCCCCCTTCCCCCGCACCGGGGCCTGGGCCTTATGATTCACCCTTCTAAAAACCGCTGTGCTCCCCAGCAGGTGGGGTGAGGAGCTAGACAGGGGATATGTGCAGGATGCAAGGAACCTATCCCATCTATCAGGTGCCAGCTTACGGCATTTGCATATATGGCATCGTAATTAATGTTCGAGGAGAGACGGCCAGGGAGCTGCAAACCCGGAACAAAGATGGAAGGAAAGAGAAATAGCTGGAAATGCAGGCATGAGTTTTCCCAGGGTAAATATAGTTTGTTCAGAGCTTATCCTCTTCCTAAACCAGGAAGACTTATAATGACTTGTCATATGAGTGAATTTAGAACTTTCAGCAGAGGGCCCTGGTGCCTAGCACAGGGCTTTGTGTTTAAAAGGTCCTCCGTGACATAGAGTTTTAGGACCAGAAGGGCCTTGGAGAGCATCTAGGCCAGCAGGTCTCAATGTTGGTTGAATATGTATAGAATTCCCTGGGGTGCTTAAAAAAATGAAATGCTGGGATCCCACCTCCAGAGATTCTGATCTAATTGGTCTGGGGTGGAGCCCAAGTTATCTGTGTTTTTTAAAAACTCCCCAGATGATTCTATTGAGCAGCCAGGGTTGAGAAGCACTAGTCTGGGCCAGTACTTCATTTTCCAGAAGTAGAAACCGAACTCGAGAGAGCAGGTTACCTAGACAGCAGGTAACTGGTAGCAGAGTGAGGGCCAGAGAAAGTGTCCTGACTCATTTGTTCAATGAGCAAACAAAAGATTTTGGAGGCGTCTGTATCTGCAGAGACCCCACCTGCTCCTCCAACCCCCACATTTTCACATTATTTTCATCAGAGGACGAACACCCAATTCTGAGATCGTTTGACAGGTCTGGATCCTCCAGGAGTTAACAGGGCAGCTGTTGCACGTTGGTCTATTGGTGTTAGCGTGTGCCTCAGAGCAGGGGTACAGGAGTTGTGTGTGCAAATGTGCACGTGCACATAGATGCAATTGACGTAGGAGCCTGTGCGGAGGATCCTCCTGCGCATGAGCGCTTGTCCTTCAGGGCACGTCCGCACTTGCAGTGAGAGCACTTGCACGTGTACCCATAAGGAGCCACCTATGGAACGGCATGCATGTTCACGTCAGCACCGTCTGTGGGGCAGTGTGGCTGTGCGAGACAGAGTGTTCAAACGTCCCGGAGATTCTACGATGCCGATCTGTATGTCTGTAATTATATACAAGGGCATAAAGCAGGATCTACCTTTATAGAATCTACACCTACATTTACCAGTGGAGATCTGTGTATGACAATACACGCAGCGCTGCCTGGCCGTGTGACCGCGTGTGGCTGGCAGTCTGCGTGCGCAGTGGGCAAGTGTATGCGGAGAGAGGAAAGGTTTCCACTGTTTCCATCACATTTCTCCTAAGTAATCATTGGGAAATGCATGTGTTGGAAAACTGCATCGTTCGTGGTTAAATATATCTCAGCCTACACAGATGAAACATGATTATTATGCCAGCTGAGATGCTACACATTAACATTGTTTATCATTGATAGAATTAAATAACCCATGCACGGCCCTGGTAGCATTTCTTACAATTTTATTTAACACTGTTTTGGCCAAGCAGCATTTGGCAAATGCCATATATACACTGTCGATTACCGTGACAAATGCGTACTTTATAAGATATAATACACGACACAGGAAAAGTATTAACAGAGGGGTGTTAAAAATTCCAACTGCCCCCATCTTCCTTTAGGTTCAACTCATTCCCCTTCCTTCCCCAGCCCAGATTAAAACCTATCCCTTCACACTTCCCTAGGAGGTCCCTGCATTTGTATTTGAGAGATAAAATGGAGGGTGAGGATTTAGGGTGGGGAAGAGATAACACTCTAAGACCTGGTCTCTGGAATGTTTCTGCTCCTCCCCAGTCTGTCAGAGGCAGGCCGGAGCCCCAGCATGTGTTAAAGCAGGAAGACCAAAGGAGGCATTTTTATAGGTTCTGCAGACCCTTGGGTTGACTGATGAAGTTATTCATTCAGAATGAGTAAAAAGAGCAATGAACTGATCAAATTAGTAGTAAATCCTTCATTAAAAGATTCATAGAAGTGGTTCCTTGCATCTCTTTCTTAAGGGGAAACTATATCTTTTCTTGAGCCCAAATAAGAACAACCTGGCCCATAGTTACCCTTTCAAACTGTGTGCTGGCCAGTGCCTACCATGTGGGCTAATGTGTGAATGGCCAGAGAGACATGGAAATCTCAGCAGCTGAGGAGGCTGGGGTCTTCATCTTCACAAGTCCAGACTGGAGCATGAACAAGAAAAGGGTAGAACCACAAATGAGGGCCATGTAAGCTCAAAATGCTCCCTTGCCAGCCACCAGGCAGTCAACGAGTTTGCATTTACTTCCCAAAGATTATGAATAAATGGCACTTGTAGGTCTTTTCAAAACTTGGAAAAGACTTCTTAATCTCCCAGAAACCAGGGCTGAAATCCCACATGGAACCTTAAAGCCCTGCTTGGATCTGTTTTTACCGCCCCTGGGCTTCATCTGGGCATGGAAGTGCCACAACTGAGACAAGGGACTCCCCACACCTGCCTTCCTGCGTTCTAAGTTTCTCAGGCTTCTCTCCTACTGAGATGCAAGAACTAAAGATGTCCAAGTACAATTTGAACATTGACTGGATCCACACCCGCCCCCCAAATCCTCTGCCTCCGGCAATGAAGCAGTCATCAGAACTATCTTTCCAGACAGCGCCAGGCCCCTCTCTGCCAGCAGGAGTATCAGCCAATCTGCCTGGGGAATAGCTGAATGCCAGCCCCCCAAATTGTATCGTATCGTTTTCACACGGCTCGAGGCAGGAAGTTGGCTCTCTAGAGCATGGGGCCATGCGCTGTCTCCTGAGTGAATATAGAAAAAAAAAAATGTCCTCGTGTTTGGATTAGAAGTAAGAATGGTGACGAGCACCCGTCAGTGTGTGTGCTTCTCCCCAACACACACACACTCCCACACACCCACACACACCCTGTCCTTGCAGACAAATCATGAATCATCTCCGTGGCTGAACATTTTAGCGTTCATAATATTCTCAGAGGCCCAAGGTTTTCAGGCAAATCCCAGGTCTGTGCACAAGGACACTGCATAAATCCCTCCCCTTATGAAAGGCCAGTCTGAGCAGATGGGACCACTCTTAAGTAAACTGCTGAGCCCTCCCTTGTCCATCTCGGGAGGAGCAGCAGGGGGTCAGTCCTACCAGCCAGGAGAGCAGAGAGCAGCAAAAGCTGCTAATTCTGAGGCTATGTTCACATCCCCAACTTATCTCTCTGAGGGAGGTGTTCGTTTGACCACACAATCCTCCCTCCCCTCCCCCAAGGGGAAATCAGATCTTGAAGTTAGATTGGAGGAGGTCACAGTGGACCAAGTGGTGGCCAGAGCTGGGAAAGCAAATATGAGCCCTGGAGAGCTGGGCCGGGGCTGGGAGGAGGTGAGAAGCCAGAGGGCCCTTCAAACCCAATTTCTTTCCATGCTAAGTCTGGGGAAATAACGTCACAAGAGTTCCACTCTCTGATAACCTGCCTCATTAATATTCATTTTAAAGTATTTCTTAAAAAGAAAAAGGAAGGGTGAGATAATTAAACACTTGGTGGAGTTTGAGGTTTCCTCCATTCTCTTCTGTGTCTGGCCCCCCACCAGCAGCCTAAGCCAAATAAATATATACATTGTGCTGTCTACCACCCCAGCCCCTACTCATCTCCCCAGGTGTGCCAGGAAGACATAAGGCAGGTGGATGGAGGGAGAGACAGACCCGGAGCACCCCAGGTGCTCACAAGGAAATGCATAGACTGTGAAATTACACCAGGGCTGGACAACTTACCACCACACTGGAACCCTTGGGGTACTGAAATAATTAACTTGCTAATCAGCTACACCTTGCTTTTTTCCTTTCTTTCTGGAAAAAAAAAAAAAAAACAACGATTGCAAATCGCTTTCACATCGGGTTCCAATGTCAGTCACTTGGAGACAAGGGATGCTCTGAAAGAAATACACTTTGTGCCTCCGTGGAGACTGAAATGGATCAGACCAAGTCAGGCCTCCTCCTCTTCCCCACCCCTTCCCACCAGGCCTGGGGGCCACACGGAGACAGAATGTTTCTGGAGATGCAGGGTTTTCTATGTCCATGCCATAGAGCTTTTCCATCTCTGCTAAGCTTTCTCGCTTTTGGTCCTCTTTAGCCTGCTTGCTGGTGCTAAACAGCCAAGATCCATGTGGAGAAAAGAGGATTGATTAGAATCGTAATAATAATTCCCTAGGCATTCGTCCGGCTTTAACGTTCACAAAGTGTTTTCACACATTATCTCATTCGGTCAGAGGAGGTCGGAGCTGGGATGGATGTTAGCAACCACTTAGCCCCACCGTCTGCATTACAGATGGGGAAACTGAGGCCTAGAAAGGTTAAATGTCTTCCCCAAAGACCAGAGCTAAGGACAGTGTGCTGTGGGGGCCAGGTCCCCACGGTCATTGTCTAGAGGTCCCCTGTGTCACCTCTGATCCTCTGAAAAGAGGGAAAGAGCTTGGTCAGCTTTTTGCTCCACAGCAGATATATAAATCCAGAAATAAAAAAAAATTAAAAATAGGACATTAGGACACATAAAGGCAAGCCTTGTGGGGAATGATTTCAAGGGTGGTTGGGAGTGCGGGTCGCTGGTCTAAGCCCTGAATGCAACGTGTTAATTAACATATTTCCCTCTCCTCCTTCTCTGTCTCTTTGTCCCCTCACCTCCCCCTTCTCTCCAAGTTTAAAAATGTGACTATTATGCAGTTTGAGACCCAATGCTTAATTCAGCTACAGGCCCTGGAGGAGAGGGCACACTTTTCTTAGATTCAAATTGGGCACCTAACCCCTGCCCCCCAGGATTCCCAGCATGATGGGCTCCCGTGTGCATGTGTATGTCCACTTGAGACATTGCACTGAACGGTGAAAAACAGGCATCTGATCCTTTCACAGATCAGATGATTTGCAAATTAATAGCTCTTCCCCACCTCCCACCCCAAGGCTCTGAAGAGGTAAAAAGATTTCTGATGGAGATGGGAAAGGCAGAAAAATATAAAACGGGGAAAGAAGGGAAATGACATTGTATTCTGTAGAAAAATACTTCCCTGTGCGTGGCGTGCATGCACTTGGTCACGAGTGTCTGCGTTTCCACAGGGCCGCCGTGCCCCGGGTGCCCGAGCCTGTTGGAAGGTAAGCGGTTCCTTTGTGTGTTCGTTCATTACTAAGCCCAACTCTTTTCCCTCTAAAACTCCTTCTTCTCCCTGTTGAGCTGACCATGCTTCTGGATTTATGAAGAGAGATGTTTTAGCAGAAATCCCCTAGAGTGTCCCATCAGCCCTAAATCCCAGGCCCACTCACCCCCCCCAAGACCCCATGACACACAGCATGCCAACACGGCTTCCTCTTGCCTATGCATTAGCCATCCATTGTGGCAACCTGACATCTCTCACACATAAAACCGTAAGAGAGAAATAAAATATCTGTCTCTTGGCGAAAATAAAGCTTTGCCTCCCTCCTGATGTATAGGATATAAAATAAAGCCGCGGCTCCAATAGTGGCTTTTCCTTATGCCGGAGTTGCCTTTGCACACACAGAGACAATGAAGACGGATGGTTTGGGACGAGGCCCAGCCTCCTGGGGCTGCCTTCACCCTTTTTTATTATCGTCAATCCCACCCTCCCAGCCTTTTTCTTTTTTCTTCACTTTCTTTCCTTTCTGGTTTGGATTTGCCTTTTATATGCCCTTCTCTTTCTTTCCTCTGGAACTTTATTCCTCTTGCTCACTTTCTTTCTAAAGCATGACAGAGACAAGAAGAGAAGAGCCAAGTTTCTTACCTTCTCAAACACGCCTGCCATCTCTCCCTGCTTCTCCCTTCTCCAGACCCCCAGCTCTCTCAGGACTGCCAGCCCCTGAGACGAATTTTGCTGTTGCTGCTCGAGGATTTGCTTTGGTCAAATGTACAAACGTTCCCAGGGGACAATTAAGAATGTATTTAGTGGGGGTGGGGGGTGGCTTTTTTTTTTTCTGGAGAGCTGCCCTTTCTCCCTCCTTCCTCTCTCTAGACCAGGTGGTTTATGGATCTCAACAATTATCTATATAGCCTCTGGGGAGGCCAACAGAGCAAACATGCACCTCCAAGGGGTGAAAGTTGACGTTCACCTCCCAAACCTCAATGCTGCATCATAGACAGGCAGCCCGCAGGCCTTGGGCCCCTTGCAGCCAAACCCAACATTCTCCTGCCTCCTTCCCCAGTCCTGAAAACTGAGGGTGCTGTGAGATAGCCAGAACTGTCTCCCTGAGTCACACAGTCACAGAAACATGGTCATTCTCCTGTCCTCCACCAGCCACAGTGCATGTGCCTGCCTCTTTTCTTCTCTCTCCCCAGAGGCCTCGCACTTGCCAGGTGTACATCGCTCTCCATTCTGCTTCCGTGTCTCCCATTCCTGTCTGGGTGGGTTTGTTCCTAGAAGCCTCTTCCCATCCTTGCCCTGACCTCACCCCTCCCACTGCTCTCCCGAACCACTCAAGGCTGCTCCCCAACCCATTCAAAACCTCGTGTGCTCCACTCAGGGCTGCAGGACACAGCTCAGGTCCTGGGGAAACTAAGTAGTGGCTTGAAGAGGAGCAGGGTCGTGGCTCCTGGGGGAAAAACAGTGGAGGGGGAGATTTAGTGTGGCCTAGGGGTGGGAAATGTCCAGCAGAGGGGCAGTGGGTGGCTTTCGGCCTCTGAGATTGATGAAGGACCTCTGTGTGTGTGTGTGTGTGTGTGTGTGTGTGTGTGTGTGTGGAGGGGGGGCTCCCAGTGACCCCTAATCTCAGATCTCTATTAATGCAAATGTGGACGGGCTGGTGAGACAGCAACATCTGTTGAACTCTGCCCCCCAGAAGAAGGGAGGGAGTTTTAAAGCGGCCAAGTCCAGAAAGAACTCAATCCCAGTCCCAAAGGTAGTTAGCTTTGGGGGGTCTCTCCCCACTGTCTCTCTTTCCACGTGATCTCTCTCCAGATATCGGCAGTAACCACTGCCATTAGGTAAGGGGAGAGAGTCAATTAGTGGGAGGATTAATTACTCGGAGGCACGAGCCCCGTTTGTCTTCCTTACGGGGTGTGAGTGTGTGCTCAGACGGAGGAACACGGGCACGCACCCAAGTACGCATTGTTGTCACGCCGTCTTAGACGTTTTATTTATTTGTTGGATTCCTGCCCGGAGCCGCTCACACGCTTTTCCACGGGCGCTGCGTCTCCCACCAAACACGCCGCCTCCTTTTCTCCCGCCTGAGGACGCGCCTGTCACACGCCCGCCCGCCCGCCCGCCTGCAGGGTCCTCGGCTCCGCGCCTTTCCTCGCCGCCTTTTTTATTTTTTTAATCTCCGGATGTCTTTCCGGGTCTTTTCCCCCTTTCTTTTCTTCGACTCCCCCGTGCACTTGCCCCAGCGCGTCTCTGCTCCTTTTATCGCGGCTTACGTTTCCACATCCCTCTCTCTTTTCTCCGGGTTTCTGCCCGGCGCTCTCGTCCCGTCCCGCTCCCCTCACGTCCCTCCCTCTCCCCCGCCCTCTCCAGTCCCGCTCTCCCTTCCCCTTCCCGCTCGGTCCGCGTCCCGTCCGTGCGCCGCAGCACTGACTCGCATCCGAGATCGCCACGCTCGACCTGCTCCCGCCCCGCGCCGGGGCCCCTCCGGCCCTCGTGGGAAGCCGGGCTGTTTGCCCAGCCCGGGCGCGCACCGTGAAGCCTCAGCCCGAGGCTGCCCTTCCCCGGCCGCTGGGTGCCACCCCCCCCGCCCCCGAAAACGTGGCTGAAGCAAAGTGATAACCCCCCCCCCCCAAAAAAAAGAAACTTCTCTCCTTCAGCAAACTGTCTGACCTGAGTTTCTTTCCCAGGCTAAAGGAGATAATACCGATCTCTCCCTGTGTGGTCCAGGGAACACAGTGCTATAAACTGTAAAGCGCTGCGCACAAGTGGGTCATTTCCGAGAGTGATGGAATGAGATTGAGGCAGCCTGACGCAGGAGAGAATGGGAGAGGGAGAGGCGGGAGCGGGGCAGGCGGGATCGGATCCGGGGGTCGGCCAGGGCCCTGCATCGCGTCTTCCGCGGGGTCCGCGTGGCCTCTGGGACCCGCCGGGTCCAGGGCTCGTTCTGCTTTCTTCCTCCTCCCTCCTCCTGACCCCGCGAGGCTGCTTGCGCCCCATTCCCGTGGCTAGAGTCCCCGCCGTCCCAGGCGCCTCCTGCCTCGGACTCACCGTCCGCTGCAGGATGGGAGCGAAGGGGGCGAGGTGGGGATGCGGCCACGAGCGGTCGCCGCTCTAGGGAGGTCGACAGCAGCGACCTGCCCGGCCCAGGACCCACTGGGATCGTGGGAGAGGGGAGCGAAGTGCAGCTCGGAACCAAGGAGTCAGAGGTAAGAAAGGGGGTGCTGGCGAGGGCTCCTTCAGCCCCCCAAACTGCAGGGCGGCTGAGGAGGGCTGGCGGGACCCCTCCATCCCCAGTTTGCGGGCAAGGTCCCTCCTCTGGGGCTGATCCTCCAAGCCCTTCGCAGAAGAGAAACCTATAACGTGAAAGCCGTTTTCTGGGTCTTCTGGGCCTTCTCCCGGAGTGTCTGGGGGTGAGGCGGGGAGGGTTCTGCAGACACTGAGGACCCTCCCGCGGCCCCGTCCAGAATTGACGGGACTTGGAGCGGCTTGCGTAGAGGGCGTCGGGCAGGACAGCGCGCGTGCACTCCGGTCCGCAGGCCGTGGCTGGCGGTGAGGGTGAGGAGGGAAGGTCGGTGCTCTTCGCCGAGCCAACATTCGTTTAAATGCAGAGCTGGGCTGAGGGACTCGGAGACGGCGAATTTGTAAAGCTCGGTCAGTGTTCTCTCCTCTGTGACCAATTACATTTTAAAATAAAAACTCGGTGGAAACAAACAAAACATTAATCTAGTGTGCTGCCCCTAAGGAGGCGTTATATCTGGACTTTAAACCTAGACCCGGGAGCCGGGAGGTGCTCCTGGGGTTGTGCGGTGTGACCTCCCGGTAGACGCTGGGGCTGGTTCCCGCGGACCTGTTTACTGAGCCATCTGGACACCGCGACAAGCCCCGTGCCCCAGAGCCCGAACCCTGTCTTCACCCTCGATTCCTCCACCGCGCTTGGCCCTCCGCTGGGAGGGGTTCTCTTTCCCCCAAAGTCTCAAGGTCTCTGCACCGACAAACAAGTTCAGCAACGTCCTCTTGCCCACCCAAAATGAGGTGGCAGGCGTTGGGCTCAGTCGGGGCTGGCAGCCGGGTCCAGCTGTCACCCCACGGGTTCCCCTAACGACAATCCCCCACCCCCACCCCCCGAGGTCCTTCTGCTTTGCATGTGAAGAAGCCCAGCCGGGGCGGGGCGAGGGCAAGCCGCTGGGGACCGGTCCGCTGTAGATGCCTGAAAGGGGCGGTTGGGTCTAGGGCGCTGGCGGCGAGAACCGAGACAGCTGGGGAAGGGAGGAGCATGGGGACCGCTGGACTGGACCAGCCCCTCCCCGAGACCTCACCCAGCACAGCGGGCTGAAGAGGCGCCTCGGGTCCCGCTGGAGGAGGCGAGGACCCCGCGCCTCGCAGCTCTAGTGTCTCCCCGGACCCTGGGGTACCCGGCACCCGTCGGCTTGTGGCTGCAAGTGTCATGGGTCCACAGGAGGAGCTCAAAGCCAAGTGTCAGCCTGCGAAGCCGGCTGGCCGAGTTGGAGAACCGCCCTCCCATCCCCAGCCCTGCCCTGAGCTCCCAGCCTGGGAGAGACCTCGGAGGGGGGCTGATGCGAGAGGTTACCAGGCCCAACACCGCCCTCTCCGCAGGGGGAGCCGGAGCCCAGGTGTGCGTGTGTGTGTGTGTGTGTGTGTGTGTGCGCGCGCGCGCGCGTCTGTGTGTGAAGGGGGTGCGGTGAAGGCTTTAGGGGCTTCGCACCTAGAGGTCAGGATGGGCGGAGCCCCAAAGAGGCGCGCGGCAGAACTGGGCTTCGGCTTCAGTGAAAAGGTGGCGCGGGCCGCTGGGCAGGGGCTGTCGGCAGGACCTAGGGTTGCTGGGCTGTGCGAGCGTAGACTTGGAGGCAGAAAACGGGCCTTGGCAGAACCCTAAAACCCCAGTTCTACTGAGGCTCAAACCAAATTCGCTAGCAGTTTGCCGCTTCGCCCGAAGAGGGTATTTCATTTGCAGAGGGCTAGATTCCCTGCCCAGCCAGGCTCAGGGCTTTGGGGCTCCAGGGCGCATTTTCGCAAGTCAGCCGGGATCCTGTGTGGGATGTCTGGGCCCTGCACCGCGAGTGGGGTCACAAGGCCAGTCCCCAAATACCGGTTAGACCTGGCTGCCTGCCTATCCTTATTTCCTTCCTCGCTAGGGCCAAATGCTCTTCCTAGTACCCCCTCTCCAACCCCCCCCCCCAGACCAAACAAAAAATGGGGAGCATAATAGCAGGACTCCGGAGCCCCGTCTCCTTCAAACTTTACTTTGGGGGGGGGATCCCAGTTAAGCATGGAAATGGTGCTGTCGAAACGGAATTTGGTGTTTGACTGTCTTGTGCCAGGGAACCAGACGGACTTTTCCAGGCCAAGGCTCTCAGGACTCCGAGGCGACCCCCGCGTCCGCGATACTCCGCCCCCGTGGGCAGCGGTCTCGAGCTCACACCCTGAACGCTGTGAGGGAGGTGTGAGCGTGAGCTCCAGGGGGTGTGCAGGGTCGGCGGTGTGTCGTGAAGCGGGTGCCAGCCGGAAGCCCGCAAAGGGGGAGGGCGGGAAGCCACACTCACTCTGCCCTTGTGCTCCCACCCGGATCCCTTTTAGCTCCATGTGGTGCCCCAGGGTCGTCCCTCTTCCCACCTACACGCCCCCCCCCCACACACACACACACGCACTCGACGCTATAGCCCCGCTGCTTCCCGCATGGTCTCTTGTTTTTGTCTGTAAAAGGTTTCTTCGGATCACAGTTTTGTCACAACTTCTCACCTGGGTCTTTGCAACTGCTCACCCGAGGCGTTTCCCCAGCCACCGCTTTCCCCTCTCCAGGGCCGAGCCTCTGGGCTTCCCCGTCCCCACCAGGAAACCGCCCGAATCAACTTTACAAGACTGCGCGGCGGGAAACAGACAACCAGATCTCCCGGGGCGCGGGGCCCGGGGCCCGGTGGACTTTGGATGGATTGGCGGAGGGGGAAACAGAAAGAAGGACCCGCGGAGGGAGATTCTGCTGCCAAGGGCCCTCCCTCCACTACTCCCCCAAAGACGCGAGCTGTGCGCGGGCCAAACTTCCAGGCCAAGAATGCAAGAGGAAGCGTGGCAGGGGGGAGGGGGTAAGCCAACACCCAATGAATTGCAAAGCCAAACAGAGCGTTAGGGCCGCTGGGGCTCCCAGACCCAGGCGCACCCCAACCTTCAACAAGGTTTGATCTTGGATTACTCCCACCCTTCAGTAGAACTCTGCCCTCCACTTTGCTTACTCCCCCGTTCCCACCGAAACCGAGACCTTACCGGGGCAGGAGGGGGGCCTGGGCATCTCGCAGCCCGCCGCCCGTAGAGCGCGGGGCCGCGGATGCAGCCGCCACTGATGCTCTAAACGCGGTCTCCCCGCTCTCTCCTCGGCCTGGGGATGCAGAATGGTTTACAGAGGGACCGCGAGCCGCTGATTGGTCGCAGGCCGCCGTGACGTCGGCGGGCGCTGCATTAAGGCGAGGGGGCTTCTTCAGCTCAGCCAACAGCCAGAAGCAGTGACCGAGCCGCCGGAGCTGGGGAGAGACGCGCGGAGGCGGCAGACTGGGCCGGGAAACCAGGGATAGAGGGACGCTTGTCCAGGGAGAGCCGGCAACGAACCGCGGCCCGAGCGGCGACAGCGGCAGCTGGTGCCGAGCTGTTTCCGCCGCGCAGAACTGTAGCCGCTGCACCAGGACGTTTTAGAAAGCTCTCCAAGCTACTCCCCCTCCTCTCGACTCCTCCCGCTGCAAAAGAAAAAAAAAAAAAGGAAGGAAGGAAAGAGGCTAGAAAGGAAACCCAGATTTGCCACCAGAACGAAAAAAGAGGGGAAAAGAAAAAGAAAAGAAAGTCCAGCGACTGTGGGGTTGGACACAGGCAGCCGGAGCGTGGGCCAGCGATGCGGGGCTGCGCGCCCAGGCGGCCGCGAGTTGTGACCGGAGCCACGATGCACGGCCAGGCGCGGTGAGGAGCCAGCCCGCTTCACCTCCCGGAAGGGGTCCAGGCGCAGGCGGGGCGGTTCCGAGAACACGGAGGCCGCCGGGCAGGCCCGGGCCGAGGCGACGGGGCTGGGGCGGTGGGGAGCGATCGAGTGCGCCCGGCTTCGTCCTCCCGGAGTGGTCCCTCTCCGCCTCGACGGACACAAACACTTCTCCAAAAGCGGAGAAACCTAGGCAACCACAGCAGTCAACAAGGAGATCTTCCTCCGGCCCTCCCCTCCCTTCCTCCCCCCTCGGCGTGACCCCCGCCCCCTCTCCCGGCCCGCCGTGGGCGCCCAGCGCTTCCCGACCCGCTGTGCGATGCCGGCAGTTTAGGATCCAAAGCTTCGCTACTCATTTTCTTCTCTTCCTTTATAAAAAGAGGAGGGGAAATCCCGGCGGCGGGCAGCCGGGCACACACCCACCCACCCTCATACTCCGACAAAAGCAGATGCACTTTGACTTCTGACAGCTCTACCTCAAGCCCGAGAGAACTCGGCGGCGCTTCCCCTGCAAACAGAGCTCGCCGCGTCGTCCTCTTCGTCCACCGTCTCCGTTTTATTTATTTATTTCCGTTACCGTCACCGTTCTCGGTGACCTTCACTCCTCCGCGAGTTCTGGCCAGAAGAGTCGCTTTCGCGTCCGCCTGAGACTTTTTTCCTCGCCCCGGGAGCTGCGGCGGCGCTGCCGAGCCACGGGGCCTGGGGGCTCCCGGGCTGCGCACCACCGAGGCGTTTCCAACCCCCGTTTGCCTCGCGTTTCCCCCTCTGATTTCCTGGTGCGGGTTTTGGCTTGCACCCGCGAGTGTGTAACCTCTTTCTGGAGGGGCTGGGGAGCTCGTTTCTTTCGTCTTTGGGAGTCGCCCCCTCGGCTCTGCCTGCTCTCCTCCTTCCCGGCCTCACCCGACCAAACCAAAGACCATGGTGCACTGTGCCGGCTGCAAAAGGCCCATCCTGGACCGCTTCCTTCTAAACGTGCTGGACAGGGCCTGGCACGTCAAGTGCGTCCAGTGCTGTGAATGTAAATGCAACCTGACCGAGAAGTGCTTCTCCCGGGAAGGCAAGCTCTACTGCAAGAACGACTTCTTCCGGTGAGTAGTTCCCTCGCGAGCCTCTGCTGCTCTCTCCCCGCGGCCAGCCGCGGATCAGAGGTCAGCGTGTCCGCGTTAGGAGCTGCGCTTGGAGAGGGCAGCCAAGTCCCGCAGGCGCCCGCCTCTTCGCCAGCTGGCCGCTGGGCGCCCGGGACGTGGCCCTGCTTGCATCCTGGAAATTGTGGGTCTTGGCTTAGCTGCACGTGCCCGGGAAGAAAGAGTCTGAGCCCGCCTGGGCCCAGAAGCCCCTCCAAGCTTGGGGGAAGGCAGCATGGTCTCGAGCTTTGTAGCCCTGGCTCCTCTCTTTCCCAGTGCGCGGAGCTCTCCAAGAACTTCACTCTCCTTGCCTCCTGGGTTGCCTGCCCTCCAGGCAGAGCTTTGAAGCTGACTAGCTCCATGACACCGACTTTTCCTTGTCCGAGAGGTCTTGGCGGGAACCGCCAGGTTTTTGCATGGGGTGTCTGAGTCGCTTGCCTTGGCAGCTGCAGGGAAGAGCCCCTATCCTGCACATCCCCGGGCGTTTCTGACACCTCAAGCACTGGCCTAGGGCGAACTGCCTCACCGTGACTGTGAAGTGCTGCAGCCTCTGCGAGAATCTTTCCCCGCTTCCCCGGGCTTGGCCCCCACCCTAGGCAGACCTCTGCTCTGAGGCCCGGGCTCCACTCGGAATTCCCCCGAGTGCTGCTCGCTACCCTCAGCCACCTTCTTGCAAAAACCCCCGGGAAAGCGGAGATTTCTCCCGACGTCCCTCCTTCGTTTAACATTTTAATTGTACTCTCTTAAACTCACTGTTTTGTCACCAAATCTACAAACACACAAATCAACAGAGAACAGGAGCAAATGCGAATTGTAATTCCCCTGCGGTGCTTGAAATCTCCCAGTTTACTCGGCTGACTAGGTCTCTGCTTGCTTCGGAGTCTGTAGTGACAGATCAAACCGGGAGAGGAGGCGCGAGTTCAAAGCCACCTGTCCCGGGACGCGTGGCTGTGGTTGAGGCAGACCGTGAGGCAGAGCGCTGTGCGGGCTGGTATCGCCAGGAGGAAGCGCAGGCTGAGCCTCTGAGCCTTGGCCGGCGTGCCCAGTTGGCCTGGTACTGGCTGGAACCCAGCCGGAGAACTGCGAACGGCGCCGGGTGCCAGTGGGCCCCAGAGGCCTGGCCCCCGTAAAGAAAGCCCCCCCCCCGCACCTAAAGCCAAGCCACAGCTCTAGCTCGCGCCAGCCTGCTCCGCTTTGGGCCTGGACGTGGCGAAGGTCCCGCTGCGGCCGTCTGCGTTCTCCGCGGCTGTTTGTCCGCCCGCGGCGCGGCTGGATGTTGCCAACCCCTCCGCCTGCGCGCGGGTCCTCGGACGGTGAAAGGGAAACGACTGTAGGGGAGGAAAACCGCGCTCGGGAGGCGTTGATAGGAAGTTCCGGTCAGAATTTGACAGTTTTCTGAATCTCATCGGAAAATAGGTGCCTCCTTCCCTCTTCCCTTCAGCACCTTGCCGCCTTCTTCGGCAGCGCTGTTTTCCTCTGGGACCGCACTGGGCACGCAGCTGGGGGTGGGAGCAGCCTGGGACCCCACTCTAGCCGCGTGCCTCTCCTCCCCGACTCTTCGTGGTGCCCCGCTCTCTCTGTTCCTGCCTTCTTGCCTGCTTGATCGGGATTTTGCCTTTCTTAATTTTTAGCTGACTCTCTTCTTTTCCCTCTTCCTCTTCACCTTCCTCCACTTTCTACTTACTTCTTTCTCCATGCCCTCCTCCCTGCCTCCGTGTCCCCCGCTCCTAACCAACCTTCCACGCCCCCGCTCCCTGCAGGTGTTTCGGTACCAAATGCGCCGGCTGCGCGCAGGGCATCTCCCCTAGCGACCTGGTGCGGAGAGCGCGGAGCAAAGTGTTTCACCTGAACTGCTTCACCTGCATGATGTGTAACAAGCAGCTCTCCACCGGCGAGGAGCTGTACATCATCGATGAGAACAAGTTCGTTTGCAAAGAGGATTACCTAAGCAACAGCAGTGTCACCAAAGAGAACAGCCTCCACTCCGGTGAGGCCCCAGTTGGGCAGGTCCTGGGGGAGGAAGGCCGGCCAAGGCCGCTGCTCACCTGTCCCTTCCTTCTCCCCAGCCACCACGGGCAGTGACCCCAGTTTGTCTCCGGACTCCCAAGACCCGTCGCAGGACGACGCCAAGGACTCGGAGAGCGCCAACGTATCCGACAAGGAAGGGGGCAGCAACGAGAATGACGACCAGAACCTCGGCGCCAAGCGGCGGGGGCCGCGCACCACCATTAAAGCCAAGCAGCTGGAGACGCTGAAGGCTGCCTTCGCTGCGACTCCCAAGCCCACGCGCCACATCCGCGAGCAGCTGGCTCAGGAGACTGGCCTCAACATGCGCGTCATTCAGGTCAGGGCCCCGGCGTGCCGCTCAGTTCCCCGGAGACCCACATGGCTCCTCCAGGCCAGCTTCCAGGAGCTGAACCAGTTCTTGGAGGCTGGCGGAGGGGCAGAGATGAAGCCCAGACAGACCCTTACCCCTTGCGACTTTTGAAGCGTTGCCCGATGCTTAGAACTACTGGAAATCCCTAGGTCTCCTCCTCTTCCTGGTCCAACGCAAGCGATAGTGGTGGCAGAGGGGCAGAGAAAGAGAGCTCAGCAGGAGGCTGGAGGTAGGGACATTGTTGGCCCGATGGTGAGAGTTGGGACCCTTTTTTATGCACCACCTACCCCTGTTCCAAAGGAGCCCAGAGGTCGCTGAGCATGTCAGACTCAATTGGTTCCTCTGGCTCCTGCACAAGGAGATCTCCCTCTGCGTCCCCAAACCAACTTTCTGGGTCTCTTGCCCCAGTAAGACAAGTCCTAAGTCAGAGACTTCTCCTCTGAAGAGAGGTGGAGCTCCTGGTTTGAAGGCAAGGCGGTCAGTCCTGAGGGAGTCAGCCCCACCTCAGGACGTCTCAAGTGGGATGGGGAGAGGAGGTGGCCATCTGGGTAGCTGCGCCGGTGTTGTAAGGATCTGAGACTGCATGTGATTCCCGTCAATTCTCGGGTCCAAGTTTCGGTGTCTGGTTCACCGTGCCTGGATGCCCTGTGTGGGTGGATGTGCCTGGGAGGCTGAGCGTGCACACGTGTGCAAGCTGCCCTCTGAGGGAGGCCCTGCGGCCTCTGGGAGATTGTGCCAACATGTGCGCACGTGAATTGGAGGCTGCGTGTCTGTGTCGCAGTGAGTGAGAGGCTGCGGATAGCATCTTTGGCCCTGGGAGATTGTGTGTGGGTGTGGAAAGGAGATTGTGCGTTTTGGTGTCACTATCGCTGGGAGACTGAGTGTCAACAGGAGGCTGTTTAGTTCTCTGTCACTATCATGCTGGGAAGGGAGCTGCCAGCGACCATGAAAGGAAAACCGTGTGTGTCTGACACTATTTGGGAAGGTTGAGTGTCTATGTGTACACAGCCCCTGAGAAGCTGTAATCGTGACAGTATGACTGTTAGAAACAGCTCCAACCGCCCCACGTTGGGCAGGGCGGCTTGCCCAGGTCCTCCAGGCGGGAATCCCATTCACCATTGGCTCAGGGGCTGCCCTGCGCGGTCCTACTCAGAGGACCCCCCTCGCCATCACCACCATACACAACACACACGCGCTCACGCACACACGGAGCCCTGAGAGCGAGGCGGTGGACGGGTGAGAGACCCGCCGGTGGAACACCCGAAGTGGGGAGTGGGGACTTCGCGGCTTCACCCCGATGTATGTATGCTTCAGGTCTGGTTCCAGAACCGACGCTCCAAGGAACGCAGGATGAAGCAGCTGAGCGCGCTGGGCGCCCGGCGTCACGCCTTCTTCCGCAGTCCGCGGCGGATGCGGCCGCTCGTGGACCGCCTGGAGCCGGGCGAGCTCATCCCCAACGGGCCCTTCTCCTTCTACGGAGGTGGGTGCGCTGCCCGGTGCAGGGCTCGGCCAAGCCGGGGTTGGCTTCGTTGGAAGCGGGTGGCAGCTAGAGAAGGGTGGAGGCTGGGAAGGAAATCAAGGGAGAAGTAGTGAGACCGAGAGCCGAATTCCCGGCCCTGAAGGAGGCGGGCGGGCGGGTAGGGAACATCTCCTGTGTGTGTGCACCCCGTCTCCGCCCCGCTCCCAGCCCGGCAGGGGAGCCCGCGAACCTCCAGCGCCCCGCGTTGCCCTCCCCCGCCGCCCCGCGAGCCCGCCTCCCCGCCCTGCTAACGCACCCCGCCCAGGGCCCCGCCTTGACACCCTCCTCCCCGCCGCTCCGCAGATTACCAGAGCGAGTACTACGGGCCCGGGGGCAACTACGACTTCTTCCCGCAAGGCCCCCCGTCCTCGCAGGCTCAGACGCCGGTGGACCTACCCTTCGTGTCTTCGTCCGGGCCGTCTGGGACACCCCTGGGCGGCCTGGAGCACCCTTTACCTGGCCACCACCCGTCGAGTGAGGCGCAGCGGTTCACCGACATCCTGGCGCATCCCCCTGGGGACTCGCCCAGCCCCGAGCCCAGCCTGCCCGGGCCTCTGCACTCAATGTCCGCTGAGGTCTTTGGTCCCAGCCCGCCCTTCTCCTCGCTGTCGGTCAACGGTGGCGCGAGCTACGGGAACCACCTGTCTCACCCTCCCGAAATGAACGAGGCGGCCGTGTGGTAGCGGGGTCTCGCACAGTCCGCGGAGCTCGTGGTTGTACAGAAACGGACTTTTATTTAAGAAAAATAGAAAAAAGAAAAAAAAAACACAAAAAGCAAGCTACACCCCCCACCTTCCTCCAGCCTCGGGGACCATTTTCCATCCGGGGAGACCGGATGGTAAAGGGGGACATGAAATAGGATCCAAATCTGCCTGGAGGGAGGACCGGGATGCGAGAGCTGGCTGGCAGGGTGCAGGACTGGGGCTCCGGAAGGGAAGCGCAGACCTCTCCCCAGCTCGCGCCTGGACCCGGCTCCGCGGACTGATACCGCGGGCGTGCGCGTCTAACCAGCGGGCGGCACAGAAGCAACCGGCGGCGGCTGGGGCGCACAGCACAGCGGTCGGACCAGGAGCCGCGGGGAGGGAGGCCGCGCCTGCAGCGGGATTGGGCGGTGAAGCGTCCCGGGGCGCTGCCAGGCCAGCCAGGAGGGTTCTGGCTCTGGGAAACGTAATAGTGTTGGTCTCAGCAACAGCGACAACAAACTCGTATAGCTTCAGAAACACCGACCTGCTGTGCATCAGGTGGGACTATATATATATATATTTTTCGTCTCTCTGGGTTTTTTGTTTCTTTTCGTTTTTGCCAAAATTGCAAAATTCTCAATGTCAAGCCCTCAGTATCAACTCTTCTACCTTCACAAAACTCGACACACACAGATGAACAGACACACTGGATAGGTGGTCTCCAGCCAGGCCTCTCAGTGAAACGACTTGAAAATCAGCTGTACTAGGAAAAGTATTTTACTTTCACACACACACACACACACACACACACACACACACACACACACACACACAGTTAAAAAAAGACTAATGAACTAAAAACAGTCAACTGTTTACGTATAATGTTAAATTCAGGAGTTCAGTGTTTTACTAATATATCCTGTTTTGAAACCTCTTGTTCAAAAGCAAAATGTTTTGAACAATCAACCAAAATTGTTCATTTTCTTTTCCTGTAGATGTTCTGACAGATTTGCAGGGCTCACAGCTCACTGTGCTAGTATGTAAAAAGGTGTTGTTTACACGAGGCAAAGAGAAAACACGACATTCGGACACTTGCCAAATAGAATAATTATAGCACAAATACTGTAAAGGTGCCTGGCACCACGACCTGAGAAAGTGTTAAAAAAAAGTGTTACAAGGTTTAAGAAAAAACATCTTTGCTAATTTTTAGTCCTGTTGAACATTCATGGAATTGTTAATATGACTTATATAGACCCACACAGGTTTTATTTTTGTGTCTTTAAAATAAAAGTCCAAAATATTTAAATTTTATGGTCAAATATGCAGTCAATAGCTGCTACTTTTTTCTTTATATATTAAATTTCTCATATGTCTTTTATTGTTCTGATAAACCTAAGCTTGTGTGACCTCCAGTGCATATTAGACCATTCACTGTATGAAAGAAAACATGTTGAATAAATTTGTGAGTTTTTAATAAAAATAGAAAATCTGATGTTTAGATAATTGGTGTGTTCTTTGATGTTTTAAGAACGAGAAGGGAGACAGGATGGAGAGCTGTATGACCCCTCAGAAGCGAGGCCTGACTGGGGTATGTTTTTACCTTGGCTGTGATTAAACCCCATTGCTAATGCCCGCCAATCTTTTCTCCATGGCTTCCTGCTGTTATTAACTACAGATTTGCATTCTGTGGATTTAACTGATACAGTTGAAGAGGTGTATGCTGATAAGTTAATATAGAATTTGAAATAGAAATCAAATCCATGGCTCTAGTCTGTCATTAGGCGTGAGATCCCATGTACTCTCTCTCCCCCACTCTCTGCACAAACAAAACTGGACTTGTGAATGTCAGTTACCTGCAAATACATAGTTAGAGGTGGTCTTTTTCAGTTTCAATTCATTTCCCATAGATAATCCTGCTTTCTAATTTTGTGGCTTGAAAGATAATGTAAAATGAATGTACAGTACAGCTAGAAGTGAAACACTTTAATCCCTTTCACAGAAATGATATGAAATAGTTGTTTTATATTATTTGTTACATTTGGAGTTCCCCAGAAGGAAAAGTATTTTGCCTGGAGCAGATACATATTACATTTCCCTGAGAGAGGACTGAAAATAACAGATATAGAAATCAAATGTCAACTGGCATTTGCCAATCAGTTCTGAAAAGTAGTTCAGTTCCTTCCAAGCCTTCATTAAACATGGAAGGAATTTAAATATTTTATCTACTATGAAATACTTGTGTGTGTTTTAATATCAGACACAGTTAGAGTTCCAGAATTTCTTTTCTGTATCACCTAGATTTCAGTCTGGATTATTTACTTCCTTATTTTTAAAAAATCTAGGTTTTTACATTAAATGGTATGTAATTTCCAGTGTTGTTTTTATATTTTGTTAAGACACAACTAAGTGTATCTTTTCCGACATGCAGGCTTTAAAATAAGCAATATTTCACTGCACCTTATGACAGCGTATCCAATGGGGGGGCTATCAAGGAGGAATGTGGTAGTGTTCTTGCAGAAATCCAAATTTATGAAAAATACAGGGAAGACTTGAAACACCTAGTTTCTTTATCTGCTTTGTATGCAATCACTGGATTGGCTTGTTTTTGCTCTTTTAGCGTTTGTGTTAAGTCAAAGCCAACTTATTTATTATAGCCATCCCTTTAAAGATGTTCATTTAACTGAACCCATGCTCATTGGGAAGCTGCATTTTCCTATCAAGCCTGCTGAATTATTTAGCAGCTTTATTGTGGAATCAGGTACTTGATAAGAAGCGTTTTAGAGTTGGGCGCTGGGCATGGACTCAATTTTTCTCTCTGACTCCGTGGCAGCAGCTCAGTCTTTCCTCTTGGTGCTGTACCCTGAACTCTAACGAACACCTGAACAGGTGGCAAAGCTTAGCAGTCAATTTTGGAGCTGCCTGCGAGGAGGAGGTCTAGAAATGTCAGGGACAGTTCTCGTTCCCATCTGAGCTGCGCTGCCCGCTTCTGGTCCTGAGGTGTAGAAAAGCGCCACACCATCCCCATCAGATGAGGCTGGGAGCTCCTGAGAAAGACTCCGGACTAGGCAGTCCCCTTCTGTCCAAGAGGGCAGTCTACTCTCTAGCGGGGCTTGGCAGCCTGGTTTCTCCCTGCAGCCATCTTAAAGCTGCCACCTCTTGTGCCTGTCGTCACCTGCCCTCAGGATGCCAGCAGCGGGAGCCGCCATCTGCCCTGGGCGAGGGAGGCAAAACTCACCCATCCAACTTCTCCATGCTGGAGGAGGCTGTGGGAGTCTGGGAGGCTACTTTAGGATGAGATGAGGCTTGGGAGGACTATACATGGAGAGCCCGGACAGGCATTGGCAGGGGCCTGGGACCTGGAGTTTGATAATATCTGAGAAAAGAGAAGAGGGTCAGGTAAGACGCTGGCTTCCCTAACTCTTGAAACTCCTGGTCATGTGACAGGCAATTGATTGGGACCAAGGGGGTTATCTAATGTCACCCTTACCCATCCTCTGCTAGTCCTACATCTGTCTGCCACTTTGCAGCCCTTAGGCAGCAGGCAGAGGCACTGTGAGCAGGGAGACTTTCTGACCTTCTCTGGAGAGGATGGTTCTTTTGGGAGTGTGCTCCTATTTATGCCCATCCGCCTGCTTATCTCATCTGCTCTCATCCCTATAGCAGTCAGAAGTTTCCATTTCTTCTAAGAAATAAAGTCTTTGAAATATGCTCTCCCATGGTCCACCCCCCGTCTCTACCTCATCCCTTCCAGAACCTCTCTTTCCTTCTCAAGAAACTACAGTTGGGAGGGGCTGAGAGATCCTTAGGAGGTTGCTCTCCTGCCCTATGCCTCAATTTCTCTCAGCTGCATCTGGAGTTTTACAATTCTTTCCTCCATTCCTGGAGTTCCCTCCCAACCTGCAGTATGAGGTAAGAAAGCAGGGGAAGCATCTGGGGGGCTCTGGGATGTGTGTACAGGAGCAGAGTGGTCTTGATTTCTTCCTCCAAGGGCTTCCCAAGTGAGTGGGGACCATAGGACAGAGAAGGGAGAGGAGGTAAGCAGGTCTACAGCATTTTCTGCCCAGAATCACCGAGCAGTGTCCTGTTTGCACGACAGCTTAGAGGTGGTCTCTGACCTGTTTTGCCTCCCTCCCCCCTTCTCCCTTTTCTTTACCCCTAGGCCAGGTTTCTAAGCATTATTAGTGTCCAAAATAGGATGAGAAGAGGATTGTGGGAGGTAATTTCCTAAATGTGGGCTGAGAGAAACATTTTTGTCCTTTGAAGCCCAGGGCAATGGCCCTTGTTGCAGCCTGAGGAGTGAAGCCTGCTTTTGCTTTGAGGGGCTCCAGACACAGGCACCAGATTGCAACTACAGGAGAATATATATATATATATGGCTGTTCCTTAGCCTCAATTTTCTTGCAGACAGTAAAAAGTAGCCTTCTTTGCCTGAGTCCTGCCTAAAGTGCTCTCATCCTAGCCTGGCATTCTTTCCCTTCCATGTCTGGGGGAGGGGAAGACATGGTTCTCCTAAGACAGGTTCTCCTTCCCCTATGCAGCAACCTAGAAAAGGGACATGGGACAAGGCACACTAAAGTGGTAGTCTCTCATTGCTCTTGATCCTAAAGGCATGTGAAGACTGTGAAAATCAGGGACTCTCACCTTCCTTGGGTTCCACAGTAAACGTTGGGAGCTGAGGATTCCCTGGGCAGTTCCGCTGTGGGATCCAATTGGCCTGGGCTGTACCCAAAAAGGGCACAGGACAGCCCCAACATCTGACTTTCTGCATCCTTTTGAGTTACTTTATGTTTAGGGATTTTTAATTCTCTACGGGTGACCTCAGATAGCTACTGGAAGGATAGACTGCTTTGTAAGCACACTTATCATCCCTTATTGCTGTTTCTATTTTCATGTTTGTCTGCCCCTCTAGGCTGATCACCATCAGGAGAGAATCAAACTTACTCATCTTCACATCTCTTCTCTGCATCTCTTCTGGCGGTGCCTGCCACACAGTGGGCAGTCAGGGAATGCTTGATGAAGGAAAGAGAATATAAAAGGATTGTATCTTTCCCTGTGCCTAAGTGTAATTAAATTGATCCTATTAAGTTTTTATATTTTGAGTCTACCCGGGTCCCTCCAATGGCAGACCTGAATATTTTTGTATTTGTAGATCAGTTCCAAGTGTTTGAGTATGCCCTCATCTTTGAACAGCAAAAATATCATCACCGATGAGTGTGCAGTAAAGCAGTAATCCCCTTCCCACCCCCTTTCCACTAACCAGACAAGACTACTTGGAGAAACTAGATAATCAATCTTTATTTAAGTACAGCCATAGCAATTTCCAATTATTCCTATTAATAAAGACGACTGCAGTCCGCCTCACAGTCACACATACACATCTCTAATGTAGGATTCCCAAATCCTGGCTGCCGCTGGGCCAGAGGCTTAAGCCGTGCCCCGGGCCCCTCCAAATTGTGAAATGCCAGACCTGCTTTAGGTCCCAGTTTGTGCATGCCCTAAAACGCACTTGAGGCTCAAGTCGCTTACAATTTACCCCCTCCTCCTTCCCAAATCGGCCACCATGCCTCGCGGCTACTTTACACTTTATTTGTAAGCACATCTTGGACAAATCTTGCGGTATATTTTAGGTAATGGGACAACGGCGACCCGCTTCGCAATTTTTGCTGAGCGCGGGGGACAGGCAAGTATCTCGCGCGTTCGCGCACCACCCAACACAGCCCCAGGGCGCACGCGCACACGCAAATGCGGCTGTACCGCGACAGTCCTTTCAGTCTCCAGCGCGCTTCCGCCTTCACTGGAGTGGTGACGCGAAGGCCCCGCCCCCTTCCGAACGCCTCCCGGAAGTTGCCAGCCCGGAGCTGGCCGCACCGCTCCGCGCGGTTCCTGGCTGAGCTGAAGAGTAGTCTCCGGGCGTGAGGAGCCAGCAGAGAGAGAGCCTCGGGGCTGGTTCCGCACGTTCTTGTGCCCGGTGCGGAGGGGAGTGAGACCTGGTGAAGATGGCTGGGCCGCAGCCCCTGGCGTTGCAGCTGGAACAGCTGTTGAACCCGAGACCACGCGAGGCGGATCCGGAGGCCGACCCAGAGGAGGGTGAGGCTGACTGGGGCGGCTAGGCCACGTGCAGAGCGGTGGGTCCGGCCCTGTGCGGACCCGGGCAGCGGGTGAGGGCCGGCATCTTGTGCGGAGGGAAACTGACTCCTGGAGGGTTGCCCCGGGGTCCGGAGGAGGGCTGCGGCTTCTGACACGCTGTCTAGACTGGGCGCTCGGGTGGGCGGAGCAGCCCTCGGGCTACGGCTTGGTTAACTGTTGATGGAGGACTGTTGCAGGGAGCCAGTCTTAGGAGCAGATTGGAAGTTATCTTGCAGGATGCTTTTACAGGAATTGCATTAGAAATGAGGAGGAGAAAGGCTCATCTGTTTTTAAAAACTCTGCCTGTCCCTAAGAATTTACTGGGAGAATGAAGTAGTAGATTTGCATGGTGATGTT